GGGTTTGATGGGGAGAAGCGCTCGGGAACGCCGCGCGAAGCGGCGGCGGCTTGATGTGATTGTACGGAGGGCGTGACGTGCCCGTAAATCCACGCATCACGTGGCCGTAAATCCTGTAAATCGGCGTAAATCCACCGAAATAAACGCTTATGCTGCTTATGCCGCGCTTTCGAGCACTTATGCGGTAAAATGAGTGCTTTTCCGCTTGCAGGATGCCTCCCCGGCTCTTGGGGGCTAAACTGACGACATAGAACGATTTTTTGAGTACATTATCCGTAGTAACACGCATTTTGGTAATATACATCAACTTCTATCTACTGCAGGAGAGCAAAAACACCCCCGGGGAGGTGCAGCCGCCGGGGAACGAGCGGGACAGGCGACGCGTCGACGCGTCGCGCGAGGCGTGGGAATACCCGGGAACCGCCGAGCCCCACCTGCCTAATAAGGCATGAAAAGCGTAAAGCCAGCGGCATAAGTAATGAAGTTGATCTCGCTTCGGTCAGCTGAACAGTCCCACGGAGAAGGACGAAGGGGCCCAGGCTAATGGCCACCTCCAAACTGCGCGAGATCACCTTTACACGATCCAGTCAGCACACGTTTGCGCTGGTGAGCTGGCTCTGGCATTGCAGACTGCCTTCTACGACGAGCTCGACGGAAGACTGGCCTGGGGCCTCCTATCTCTGTGTCTAGACGTGCATAACGGGTCTTATGCTTCAAGATGGTCGATGACAAGTACATCGGACTTGCCCTCGCGGCATCCAGTTCTCTGGCCATCGGGACGAGTTTTATCATCACGAAAAAGGTATTAGAAGCAGCTCGGAAGAGGACCGGCCGGTGTGCTCATGAGTGTGCGCATTCCAGGGGTTGAACAACGCGGGCGATCATGGACATGGTGGCAAGTCGTCGGACGATCTCTCGTATTTACGGAATCCAATATGGTGGGCGGGCATGTTGACTTGTGAGTTAACAAATGTGATGTCCGCTGTTCAGATTGACCCACGGGGACGACAACCCGGGAATTGTCAGTGGTCCTCGGAGAAGGTGTGTCCGCTCGCTTTATATGAATGGCCTGGGGTTGAGGCTGGTGGTCAGTTGCGAATTTTGCCGCATATGCGTTTGCGCCGCCAATATTGGTCACCCCTTTGGGTGCTTTGAGTGTACTTATAGGGTGAGACCGTCTCGTCGTTCGCTCACGCTTCCATGCTGACGACGACACAGGGCGGTCCTGGCATCATTCCTCCTGAAGGAAGAGTTAGGTCATATAGGCCGAATCGGGTGTACGCTATGTCTTCTAGGGTCATCTATTATTGTCCTACACGCGCCGGAGGACAAGGAAGTTCAAACTGTAGATGAAATATTACACTACGCCATGCAACCAGGTCGGTGGGACAGTATGCAACGCTTGCTCGGTACTGACGTCCACCTGAGGCTTTCTGATGTACTGCTTTACCGTTGCTGTCTTCTCCCTCATCATGATTTACGTGGTTGCGCCGAGATACGGGAGGTCGAACCCGCTGGTCTACATATCCATCTGCTCGCTGGTCGGCTCGGTCTCCGTCATGGCCATCAAGGGGTTCGGAGTTGCGGTGAAGCTTACGTTCGCGGGGCATAATCAATTCACGCTTCCGAGTACATACGTCTTCGGCATCACTGTTGCTGGGTGTATTTTAGTCCAGATGAATTACTTCAACAAGGCTCTGGACACCTTCTCCACTAATGTGTAAGTCGAAGAACGCTTTTACGGCCCTTGCTGACCCCCTTCTAGTGTCAACCCCATGTACTATGTCGGCTTTTCCTCCGCCACTATCGTGGCATCTTTGATCCTCTTCCAGGGTTTCAATACGACCGACACCTCGAATACTATCTCGCTCCTCATAGGCTTCATCGTGACTTTCCTTGGGGTCCACTTACTAAACATCTCGCGTAAACCCGAGCCCTTACCAGCCCTGCCAAGCCATAGCGCCCTCGAAAGCGGCCTCATGAACCCGCGTATGTCGCTGCAGGGCCGCATGTCCATCGACGGCTGGAATGGTGTCCCGTCGTACCAGCCAGAAGGCGTCCCGCTGTCCGCTGGGCACGGGCGGCGGGGCTCTGCGTACCGGAGCAACAACCAGACGCTGTTCAACGCGTTTGAGGGCGACGACGACGAGCTGGAGGGTGTCGGCTTGGAGAGGCTGGATGAAGAGGACGGGTACGTGAGTGCGGATGAACGGACTCATTTGCGCTCGGAGGAGAGGGAGCGGGAGAGGATGCGGATGGGCTCCAGGAGTCACAGCCACTCACCAGGCCTGTCGCATAGTGGTTCACCACGACCTCAGTGATAATGCGCTATGTATACCTGTTTAATTTTTTTGTTGCATGGACACTTGCATAGAACAGGATGTTCTCCCACGTGGGATGAAACAGCTGGGGAATCCTCAGGGTGCAAGAGGAAACGATGAACACGTCTCGATGGTCTAATGGTTATGATTTGCGTCTCACATTTACTGTTCACGCAAGGTTCCCAGTTCGATCCTGGGTCGAGACACTTTTGTTGGATGCCCATTGGTTTTTTGCGCAACAGGTTGCATGTTATCGTTGTAAGGAGTCTCTGTGACTGTCCTGCACCATACCTTGGGCAATTGCATTGTAGGACATCCGCCCAACATCTGCCGCGCTTGCAATCGCCTTCCCAGACTTGCCCAATACGCTTGACATGCACGTGGGTAATCATTATGCTTGCCTTGTTAGGTAGAGTGAAGCGTAGCAGGTTACAGGAAGACTCCAACCTTGATACCCGTAAATACCGACTTGCTTTCTCATTCATCCGCCTTTATTCCACGACGCGTCTCTCAAACTTTGCCTATTCTGATGTCCTCGTCCACAACCGTTACGGACGGTCCTGAGTTGCAAGAGTATGATCCTGAAGCCCCTGGACCTGCCATTTCGGTCCCGGACTCGGGGGACACTGGGGAGGGTGGCAAGCTGAAGATGATTGTACAGTTATTGAAGAAATGTCTGGGTGTGAAGGATATTGCTGCCATGTGAGCGGAGGCCTGTTGTCTTATGCACAGTTGGTCTAAAGAGCAGTTTCGTCTAGGCGTCTGTCTTTGCCTGCATCGCTACTGGAACCTATACCTAACCTGGAGTACTGGCACTACCTGGACAGACCGGATTTATTCGCCGCGTAAGTATGTCTTGTGCTCTCACTTCTTTGCCTTACAGACCGGTGTGCTTGTACAGTATCAATGATTCCGATGACCCCTTTGAGCGCATGTTAGCCGTTATTCGGTTTACGTTCACCAAGGATCTTAAGTTTATTGTATGTTACTCTTGCTCTCGATTGAAACGCTATATAACCACGGTATCTGCAGCGTGGCAAGCCTTGCAAGCCGTATAACTCCGTTCTCGGAGAGCACTTCCGCTGTACTTGGGATGTCATTCCAGTGAAATATCCTTCCGACCCCAGGGCGCCGCCAATCAATCGGACATACGTTGCGCCCGTCTCTTCCGAGAACACCTCATCAGCAGGCTCCCAGCGCATCATCGCGCCCCGCCTCATGCAGTCCCAGTCGGAGACGGCGAGCGTCAAGAGCATCAAGAGCACCAAGAGCGCCAAGAGCGCTCGCAGCGGCTTCAGCTTCATGTCCTCCGTCGGCTGGAGCACGCCCGCGACGTCCCCGCCGCTCAGCGAGACCAACCTGGAGGCGGACATGTCGAACCTTAGCCTCACGCACTCGAGCTCGGAGAACATTATTGAGGAGGACGAGGAGGCGTCGTCGGAGCCGCGCGTGCGCATCGTCTACCTCACCGAGCAGATATCCCACCACCCGCCGATATCGGCGTACTTTGCTGCGTGTCCCTCTCGCCATCTAGAGTTGACGGGGATTGACCAGATCAGTGCGAAGGTCTCTGGGACTACTGTGCGCGTCGGCCCGGGGTCATTCAACAAGGGTATATTCATTCGTATCACTGGCGGGCCTGGTGAAGGGGAGATGTATAGGGTTACGCATCCAGTTGCGCAGGTTAATGGCATATTGAGAGGGAATTTCTATGTCACCGTCGGTGACTCGACGATCATCACCTGCAGTGGTGGGAAAGGTAACGACAAGCTACGGACGATCATTGAGTATAAGGAAGAGGTAAGTACAGTGGTGATTCTCCATCTCACGGGTTCTGACGCCTCTGTTAGTCTTGGCTAGGGAAGCCGCACTACGCCCTGGAGGGGGTTATCCACACGTACACGGAGGGCGAGAGCGAAGTCGAGGAGTGGACCAAGGTGAAGCACGTCCCGCAGACGCGCGTGGTGGCCGTCTTCGAGGGCTCGTGGAGGGGCGTCATACGCTGGCGCCGCGCGTCATCCGCATACTCTGCCCCGACCACACCGGCGGCGTCCCAGTCGTACCTGTCCGCAGCGACGTCGCTGCTGTCGTCCAGCCACTCGTCGTCCGAGTCGTCCGCGTCAAGCTCCCGGTCCGACTTGAGTGGTGCCACAGCGAACGCCTCCGGTGCATCTGAGTGGGCGACATTGCTCGACCTGACGCCGCTGCACGTCGTGCCGAAGTCTGTGAGGCCGCTCGAGAAGCAGCTGCCTGACGAGAGCAGGAAGTTGTGGCAGGACGTCACGGCCAACTTGCTCAAGAAGGAGTACAGCGAGGCGACGAAGCACAAGCACGCGATTGAGCAGAAGCAGAGGGACGATGCAGCGGAGAGGAAGCGGAAGGGGGTCGAGTGAGTACTGGGCGTCATAAGAGAGTGTAGCTGTGTTTGATGAACTGACCGTCGCTGTCACAGATTCGTCCCGAAATACTTTGAGAAGGATATCGAGTCCGGCATCCCCGTGCTCACCGCGGAGGGGAGGAAGCAGATCGAGCACGAACTCCAGGAGCCGGCAAGCTATCCCGTTGAAGGCAAGACCGAGAAGCAGGAGGCTTCATGATACGACAACGCACCCAGTTATGGGTGCTCATCAATTACGACCCTTTTATGACTGAACGATTTCCTCTTGCTCCATCTCCATCTGAAGGCTCTGACACATTTATCGTGTTTTGTTTATAGCTGGTATTCGGATCTTGTTATGTACCTATTATCTTGTTTGCTGCGAGTATCGTAGTGGTCGCTTTGGACTTCAACAACAACAACACTAACACCAATAACATCCCCTTAACCCCATGCATATGCATATGTAGTAGACATGGAACCAATCAAGTCCCCTTGTACAATCTATTATCGTAAGTAATGTAGTGCGCACACTAGGTACTTACGTCACTGTGGAAGTAACTCTCGGACGACGCCGATCTAGCATGCTCTCTGACTTCAACTCTGCTTTCTATTCTGTGCCATGCCACTACTCAGCGCGTCCGTAGATGTCTTTCTAATCAGCTCAATGGCTATTATACTGCCCACCATATACTACTCGCGAAAGCCGTCGCCGCCAAACGCGTCGCCGAGCCCACCACTACGCAAGCCGCTCAGCTTCCTCGTGGTCCTGCATACCCTCTACGTGCTCTATACCCTCCTGCTCAAATACCCGCCAAACCTATTCAAAGTACTAGACATACCCCTCACGACGCCGTCAGATAATATCCGTATTCTGCTAAAACGATATGCTGGGGGAGGGGAGCTACCACCTGCGTTGGATGCCCTGTTGACCCGCCTCTCCAGCTTTGACGCCAGGACGTTATATGTCAGGTTCTTGTCCCTCCCACCTTGGTCTCTATATCTCGACTGACACCATTCCCTTGTTGCGATAGGTTGGGGCAATCTGTGATAGAGAGCTGTGACTATTGTCATACGCCGTCCGAATACGCGTTACATGCTCTGCCGAACCCTCTCCTGGAGTATCTGCGAGAGGCGGCGGTCGTAGGACTCGTCACGATCCAGGGGAGCTTCCGAGAGCGCTGGAGGAAATGGGGCGTCGGAGTCCTCGTGGCCACAGCTGTTCTGGAGGCGTACTGGATATTGACAGTCGAGATCAGAATACCCAGGAGCGGGAAGGGCGTCACGATGGTTCGTATGCATTCCTGCCCACATCTGCAGAACGACGCTCAAAGAACTCGCTGTTTAGTGGCATGACTTATTCTGGACGATCCGGTACCTCATATTCCTCGTGCTCGTCCCGGTGCTCCATATCCTCCCCTCGCGTCCGCCCGTGCCCTCGCCTCTAGCGTCCCTGCACACCGTCGCAGCCTCGATAGAGCAGTCCATATACGGCCTGCGCCTCTTCTCGGCAACGCACGCCGCCATCATGCGCGTACCGGAGACGCGTGCTGCGCAGGTCGAGCACTTCGCTCGGGAGCGCCAGGAGGGGCGGTGGGCGAGGGAAGACCCCGACGTGCAGAGACGCGCGGAGGTGCTCGGGCTGGGGTATGCTGAGGAGGAGGGCAGGTTGAGGGCCAGTGCGAGGGCGGCCGTGCAGGCGCTGCAAAATGGGTTTTCTGGAAACCGGACTTGACTAGATGTAGACTCTAGACGGGCTGTATCTATAATGCTGTTGCGAGAGGTTATACATTGGACTGTTCCGATATAATGCTCCGCGGAGACAATGCATCGCACGGGCTCCAGCCTGCAGGTTCTCGAAAGTAGAAAGACAAGTTCCGACGTGAGTTGCCGAGTATCTTGAGATCGTCTACGGTCGAGGCAAAGGTCGAGGCAAACATGACATCAAAAATAAATCGTTGTTCGAAAGAGCATAAATATTGAGCTCCGTAGAGCTGCCACTCTGGGTAAGCGTGTCATCCTTGTGCAGGGGCCATGCTAATCTTCTCTGTATCGTTCCAATTTTTTCGTATGTCACCCCGAAGGGGACAATAGACAATGCTCGCGGTGGCGTGCAAGCAGCTGGCAGAATGCATTTTGTTCCGCCGGCGGGTTGTTTCCTGTATTTGCCACATTCACACGCTCTTCCGTCCCTACTCGTGATGCGCTTCGTCGAAAGAAGGGTCAGCTGGAGGCTATTAGACAGACTACTATTGCAAAGCTTGACCTGAAGGCTCAATGCTGAAAGGACGCACGGCATTAACAATCGAGTTAACGCGGTCTTCATGAGCAAAATATTCCGTCCCAACAACATAGAGGCTCCAGCTCCCGTTGCTTAGCCAATGACAACGGTTTTTGCCCCCTCGCCTCCTTCACGTAGATCGTTCGAAACAATGTCATGCTGAGGTGTATACACAATATATGAAGCAAGAGATACAGAATCGACGCTAGTCGTGTCCTCCTCCCGGTGTAGCTTCGGCCAAATCACACCTGCTATTAATTTTTTACCGCGACACGGATAGCTGGTTCTACGGGATGAACATCTGCATACCAAGGGGAGCATAGTGACAAAACAAGAAGATGAGCATGGGGTTGATTGCACTTTACTGGCCTGAACTGGGAGCGACATCTACTCGACTTCCCGCCAAGGCCTGTCGACGTTAACGTCCGCATCAACGTCCGGCCCGCCGTCTTCACCAGCGGCATTAGCCCCAGCCACGGACTCCAGCCGCTGCGCAAATTCGTTCATGTCGCTCATAGCAAGCTCGCGCATCTCCTTGTCGTAGCCGCCCTCGCTGCGTACTTCGGCTTTCGGGTCCCAGGTCGGCTGCGGACCTCTCCATCCGCCTTTCAGGTAGATGTAGTTAAGGAAGGAGCGCCAGAGTGGATCGAGGGACAGGACTGTAGGGTCTCCAATGACGATGAGGAGCGCCTGGGCTCTTGTCACGGCGACTGCATAGATAATCAGATTACGGCCTTGAGAATGAAAGCTGGATAACGTACCGTTAAACCGGCGGGGATTCGCGACGAAACCAAGGGTATGCTTTAAGTCGTAGTTGACGTACTCTTTGCTGCTGCGAACGGTGGATATGATAATAACTCGGCGTTCCTGTATGGAGGACGAGACTAAGCCACATTCCGAAAGAGAATAGTTATTGTCGAACATACCTGTCCCTGGAATTCTTCCGTACTCCCGACTTTGACCTCATCTGCGACACCTCGGAGAGCAGCGCGTATCTTGAGACACTGCGCATGGTACGGCGTGATCACCCCGATATCGGTATGAGCTTGTACAGAAGCGTCAGCACCGGTGTGGCAGGTAGGGAAGAATCAGACGCACCAATCCGGATACGTCGGTCGTCCCTAAGCTTGTTGATGTAGTCCTTCACTAGTAGGGCTTCACTAATATTGAAGAACGAGGGTGAGGTGGATTCACGATCGTCTTTGCCTTGGACACCGTGGAATATAATCGGGAAATCCTTCTTCGGGAGGTGCGACCACTGGAGATAGGACGTGATGACCTGCGGCTTTCCGCATACTTCCAGGTCGCCCCTGTAGAACTGTTCATTGGGGAACTTCAAGATCGCACCGTGTGACCTGAAGTTTTTGACGAGCTTTACAAAACTGGCAAGACATTGAGTTTAAATACAGCCTGCTGCAGTCATCGCGAGGCGCTCACCTTTTCCCGACGTTAGGCGAGTCCTCGAGATATATGTCGCGAGTCATGAGTCTTTCCAGGTAACTGGTGTCCAACCCGAGTTCTCGAGCGACTGGGCTACGTATGATGGGGCCCAGTTGCTTAGGGTCGCCAGAAAGAATGACCTTGGTCTGATCGTTAGCCATGGCCTTGATGGAAATCATGGCCTCGGGTTCCGTCGCCTGGCCTGCCTCGTCAATGAAGATGTGAGTAAAGTGCCCCCGTGGCATCCCGACGTTGTAGGCGACCGATGCCGATACGCAAGTGGAGACCATAATCTTGTACCGCTTCAGTACTGCCATAGGGGGCACTGAGAAGAAGCGATTCCGCTCGAACTCCCTTCCCACACCTAGTTCTACGTTTGTCTCGTAAGTGAACTCCTGCAGGTCATCGGGCACGTCGTTCTTCGACCGTGACGGCGCGTAGTACCTCAGCAATTGATGCTTGCCATACATCGTCAAACGCGACGCGATGAGGTCAGCAGCGGAATTCGACGGCGCGCAGGCTAGGATCCTCGCATCAGGGTTGTACTTCAAAACCTGGCGGATGGCTTCCACCATGGTAACCGTTTTGCCGGTACCGGGCCTAGAAACGTGGATGGGTTTAGGAAAAGCCGACAAATGCAATCCGCATACGTACGGGCCGAATACCACAAAGGGCACTGACACTGGCTTCATCGACATAATTGACCTGATAGCCTGCATCTGGCTCGGGTTCGAAGCGATAATGGTATTGTATGGCGTGAATGGCTGTGTGGCCGCAGCAAATCCAGCAATATGAGATGCGGAGGGGAAGAACAGGTGTTCGCCTCGGATAGCTGCATCAAGCGCTTGATGCTGACGGCGGAGCGGGATACGATTTAGTTTGAACCGTACATTGTACAGCTGAGCTGCGTTATGGCCCGGGAACGAGCCATGGAAACGGAGGCCGACGTAGTCACGATGCACGAAATGTACGTGGCCTTCGTACCAATGGCCCTTCTCGGAGCCGTGGCGTTGTACCAAGATACGGTCACCTATGGAATGCATCAGGGCGAGCCGCCCGTCGGTAACATCGAGTCCAAGAGCGAATCTTACCAACGAGGACACTGGGCCTCTTCTCCGCCAGGCCCGGGACAGCGAGACTTGGTTCACATCAGCTAGTGTATCTCGCGTTGAACCAACTCGTCCACTCACTGATAATACGAATTGTGCCTATCTAGTTTTGCGTCCGGTATGTCGTATATTCCCAGATCATCCCTGGTGCAAGCTCAGCGCCTATAGCTGACGAGTAATGAAAGGCGCCTACTCGGACCGTTTCTCCTCAACCCACAGCAGTGTCTTGAAATGACGGCCATGCGATGCCACATCCAAAACTCGTGGTAGTATACTCCTGCGAAGATTGTTCACCTTATCCTCATTTGAGCCCGTGCTCACCACCGCCATGATATTCTTAGGTATATGGGCGTCTGCTAATTTGACGACGTATGGGATGGCCTTCAGCACGGGTGGGGCCTCACCCGGCACTACAGTAATCTCGGGCTCTCTCTTGCTATGCACCCTCGGCGTGTACGGCATCGTCGGTTTCAAACGATCATAGTCAGCTTTATCGCCGACAATGACGCGGACGAAACGAACAATGACGAAGGCTTGCTTGAGCTGCTTTTCTTCGAGCGTGATCTCGACCCGATCTTCGTAGTGACCGGCATACGATGAACGGAAGGTGACAGGGATGGTGTAGTCCCTCCTGCATACCAGCATCTGGTCGAGCAAGGACGCAGAGTCGACCGAGAAACTGGGATTCACGGGCAGAGCATGAGCGTTCGAGCGATATCATCGCCACTGGCACTTACGAAGAATGAGCATTCCGAGAAGTCAGCTTGATGTCGACGATGGAGATCTTCGACAGCGGCACCGTGGCTTGCATGGTTAGATGTGCACGAAAGCCGCTGGCCGCTTCTGCACTGCTGATAATCCCGAGATCCAAGCCATCGTCCTTGTCCGAGACGGTGACCCCGTGCTTATCCTTGGTCGCTTCGTCGATAAGAGCTTTGAACCTCGCGAACTTCACCTTGTTCAAGTGCTTAGGATTCGCGAGATGACGTTGCCAGGCTGTCTTTGGAACCTCCTTACTGCACAACCCACAATACTCGACACTCGGGCAGCTCGCTTCTCCAGGCGCCTCTATCTCAGGCTGTACGCTCGGAGATACACCCTGTCGGAGAGCTTGGTTGTGATGGCCTTTCGACGCAACATGAGAACGCCAGCTATGTATTGCTCCTACGCCTCTAGCACAGAGAGGGCAATAGAACCTGGTGTTGGCCCCTTCCGCTATCTTCTTGTGGCGGATTCCAGCGATATGACTCATGTACACGGCCTCGGACGTGCAAATGACCCCGCAGGGCTCGCAGATGCGGAGGTCATGTCTGAACTGACAATCATCATCGCCGCAGATACCAGCCGTGCGGAGCTTGGGACAGAGCTGGACCATGGCACGATGTTCAGAGCAGAGGAAGGGTACACGAGCTTCGCGTTCTTCGCAATGCACAGACTATTTATGCTGTGGCTGCTTCTCCGTCACGGACAATTGCGTGCCGTTTCATATAACGGGCAACACGTGTATGGGGTAGGATAGGCGCGTATGAGGCCTGGAGACCCGATGACGGACACGATGGCGAGCTGCTAGCGCAGATCGAGAGCCGAAGGCCTTTGACTTCGACGATAATGTTGTTCTCGAAAGGGATGCAACATGGCGAGCACAAGAACATGCCGCATATGCATTCAAAGCATTCGATGAACCCAGAGATGTTGCGAAAAGGCGAGCGTATCGAAAGCGGCTAACAAAATGCCGTCAATTTAAACGTTCCTGCACTTCCTCTTCTAACGCCAACGTGGTTCAAACATAATTAGCATCAGGCTATAGAGAGCTTGTCCAAGCAAAAGAGCGCTATTGAACCATCGGGTCTCCTGCCCAGATGCATACAAGAGCGTGCTGCTGCTTAGTGTGGACATTTACCTTGGAACTTGAAGCTTGAAGCTTGAAGATGAGGGCAATCTGGAAGTCAGGGTCAATCGCAAACGGAAACTGATCGAGGTTTGCTCTTGCGGCAATTGCCGTTCGTGCACCAAGACGCGTACGCGTCTCTTGAGCGAAGCCACATTCTCATATTCCGCCATGTCTGTCAAACAACTTCCAGCCCCCGTTGGTCTCAAGTCCTACTATCAGGCTAAGATAGAAGCGGCCGAGATTACCATCAACCAAAAGACGCAAAACTTACGGCGTCTCGAGGCCCAAAGGAATGCACTCAATGCACGCGGTACGTATGTCCCTGACCGGTGAATATAACTATTTCTGAAGTCTCAATAGTGCGCCTGCTACGGGAGGAACTGCAGCTTTTACACGAACCAGGCAGCTATGTGGGCGAAGTTGTCAAGGTCATGGGCAAGAACAAGGTGCTCGTGAAGGTGCAACCTGAGGGAAAGTACAGTACGTACATATATTTTATCCGCTTGATTGCTAGTCCTCATTATCTGCGAAGTTGTTGACATTGACTCGGACATTGATATTTCGACATTGACACCAACTCTCCGGGTCGCTCTGCGTTCCGATTCATACACCATTCACAAAGTCCTGCCCAACAAGGTGGACCCACTTGTATCACTCATGATGGTCGAGAAAGTCCCGGACAGTACATACGAAATGGTCGGAGGCTTGGACAAGCAGATTAAGGAGATCAAGGAGGTCATTGAGCTGCCCGTCAAGCACCCAGAGCTCTTCGAGTCCCTCGGTATCGCCCAACCCAAGGGTGTCCTCCTCTACGGACCGCCCGGTACCGGTAAAACCCTCCTTGCCCGTGCCGTCGCGCACCACACCGACTGCAAGTTCATACGCGTCTCCGGCTCTGAGCTTGTGCAGAAGTACATCGGCGAGGGCTCACGCATGGTGCGCGAGCTCTTCGTCATGGCGCGCGAGCACGCGCCCAGCATCATCTTCATGGACGAGATCGACTCCATCGGCAGCTCGCGAGGCGAGAGCGGCTCCGGCGGCGGCGACTCGGAGGTGCAGCGCACGATGCTGGAACTGCTGAACCAGCTCGACGGGTTCGAGCCGACGAAGAACATTAAGGTCATCATGGCGACTAACCGGATAGGTGCGCATTGCTCCTGTATTAGCCCGAGATGTGTCCTTTGCTGACTCATGTGCACGCAGATATTCTTGACCCCGCCCTCCTTCGCCCCGGACGTATCGATCGTAAGATTGAGTTCCCGCCGCCGGGTCCCGAGGCGCGTGTGGCCATTCTTCGTATTCACTCTCGGAAGGTACGCTTTGTTGTTCGTCTCACTGTTCAATTGTGATTGATATCCCGCTGCAGATGTCGCTGCAGCGTGGTATCAACCTCCGGGCTCTTGCCGAGAAAATGGGTCAATGCTCGGGTGCAGAAGTACGGGGTATCTGCACAGAGGCCGGTAAGCTGGGTTGCAAGCCACTGTCGTTGGTGAAGAACTCATCACTTTCCTTTAGGCATGTACGCTTTGCGTGAGCGGAGGCAGCATGTTACACAAGAGGACTTTGAGTTCGCTATCGCAAAGGTCAGTGAAGGAATTGTCTTCACCCTTTATGACGTGCTAACGGTGCATATTACAGGTGCTCAAGAAGAGCCAGGAAGGAAGCACATCAGTAAACAAGCTTTTCACATAACGGACGTTCTTGGTACATATTCCTGGGCCCCTAATGTTGTTCCTCGTTTCAATTCGAAGTTGTACGTTCCTTGGGGCTTGTTGATGCCTTCGACCACTGGTTTAAGTGAATGATACCGTGTGGGGATTTGCAACACGGGAGAAACTCAATACAATTGGACGCCCTGCGAAGCAAAAAATTGGTTCAGCCCAGGATCGAACTGAGGACCCTCTGTGTGTAAGACAGAGATCATAACCACTAGACCACTGAACCTAGTCTGGATATGTCTCCCGACAAGCCATATATAGTCCGTTATACAAGGGTCCGGCAAGGCAATGTACGTCCCGTGGGCCCCACCGGATCTCGATTCGTTCGACGAATGCGCCCCGGGACCCTTTGTCGAGCCTGGCCAAACCTCCTTCTTGTTTCACGCACCCACCGACTTATCGGAGTCTGACAAGGCCGCTACAGCATGATCCGTTCCGAGAATCCTATCTCGCAGTACTTCCACCGCCGTGTCCAAAGTCGAACGAGGAGGTCGAAGTCGAGGTGATCTTAGACTAGCAGCTTAGCTCAGGTCAAGAGGCTCGTCATTCCGGAGCACGACGATGTGCCCGACAGAAGACTGTAAACTAATACTTGGCCATGCATATATTGGCAGCAAATGTTCAGCGTCATAGCAGTTGACGCACACGTAATCTTGTTGTCGTGTAAGCATTTGCACCTCGAGGTCACTCAACGCCTCTAGGAACATTCACAAGGAACACATCAGCTAATACCCTGACGCTTCTTCCAGATATACGCTAGCGAGCAAAGGCCAGACCTAGAGCACGCCGACTTCCCGCATGCCGCTCTCCCGCTCGGTGCCTAACCGTACTCTTGAGGAACGACGATCTTTCCTCTGTAGGAATATAATATGCTTTCGGTCTGAGGAAACCGCTGATCCCGAAGGTTCGTTGTGGTGCAACGTAGGGGTGCTTCTCCGCTTCATGGGAGACCGGTGGTGATACAAGTCTGCACTGCTTTAGGTCCTGGGTCCATATCGACCATTCAGAATGAGAAGGCTGGGTAGATAATAACGCAATAATGGACGTCAAATTTTTCTAGTATGACCGACTTCTCTCCGCCTCCACTCGCGGGTTCCAAAGGCGAAGCACAAGTATGAGGAAAGAGTAACTGTGTACCACCAGATAAACTGTGGAATAACAAGGTGAACCATAACAGCTATATGAAATACCCATAGCGGGTTCAATGAACGGGAGAATATCCTCGAAGGGGACCGTTCCTGGTTTTAGTGGGGTCTGCCGCAGTATTCTAGTGAGCATGATCGCGCTATCCTACCGTCGAAGTCGCCCTAAAACTTGGTAAAGGTTGCGAAAGCACGTGAAGGCATATCCGTTGCAGATCCTGACATTGGTACGGTACACACCATAAGTGTCCGAATGACGTATGCGGCATATCTCCTCAGTCCTCCATCGATCGTGCTGAGTCCGTGGTCTGTCTCTCAGGCACGCATCCTCCTAGCCATAACGCCCACTGACATCCGGCGAAAAACGCGTTTGGTCTGGCATAGTTCTGCATGATCCCCAGAGACCTGCGTGCGTCCTAATTCTTCCCCCCGCAGCGCGACCAGTCTTCCAGGCGTAAACATAGGTGGCCCAATATTGCATGCTTGGGTCATAGGCCGTACTTCCTTTTTATAGATAACCATGCTGGTGCAACAGCGGGGTGGCACTTTGCAAAGTTATTCATGTCATCCTCTGGGACGCGGTTGTAATCCACTCGGTTCCAGTAGCGGGTGACCACATAAGAAATCTCCTGCGCATCCTGTTCCTGCCGGCGTCTGCGACAAAAGTCAGTTTAGACCATTCAATTTGCATTATCCAATAACTTACATCGCCCATGCCTTGAGCTTGGCACGCAGGAACTCGGTAATGGAGAGGAAAGGTATGCCTCGGATGGTCGTAGTCGTATTAGCGTCTAAACGACGCGGTCCTGCTTCACCGGCGGGGAGAATTTCGATCTTTCCTGCGGGATTAGGCTCTGATGAACTCGCGTCAATATCTGAAAGAAGCTCGCACCTCCACTGGAGGGATGAATCCATGGTATGTCGTGTGCAGCCTTGGAAAGCCGATCAGCATAGCGGCGGCCAGAGGTAGTCGAGACTGGCGACCCACCGATTACACCAAGGAGAAGCGATGGTAGTTACATGACTACTGCCAGATACTGCTTGACGAACACGTCGAAATGGATGAGACAGGCCGCCGTCTACTATACAATATATGTCCTACCCCAGGCCACACATCCATCTGTTAGGAATGGTCCAGACATATCGTTATCATGATTGACTCACATCTGCGTAGGGATTATTTGACATCACGGCAACAAAAATACCTCCGTAGAAGGCGTGAGGGATGTTGCTCGCGCGCAGAAGTTGAGAAAGGGCTGCGGCTGCTTCCAAAAGTCGAGCCGTGTTGTGCATATCAAAAGAAAGAGGAAAAAGTCGGTAGTCAAGTCGAGAGCATGATACACTGGCATGCGGCAGAGCGCGGATGATGGCAGGCCACCGTGGATGGGGTGTTTTAATAGAGAGATGTATTTGGTCTGCCTGACCCAAGAGGCCAGGCGTGGAGAAAACAGCAGATACGTATCTGATTCAATTGCCGATACGGGTTTGGCCGATCACGTCCGGTAAGAAGGTTGAAAGGTTCTTACAACCTTAGATGGGGAATGGGTTGGGTACCATGCCGTCACATGCTTTACCTGAGGTCACCGACAAGAGCTGGTTTAACAGGCACGAGGGAGGTATATCGAAAACCCGATAACTAACGCCCTCCAAACTGGATCCCGTAGCTGCCAACGTACTAAAGACCGACCAGCTACGGCTCGGACATCACTCCGGCACAGTTCATATAAGCTCCTGGCATTGCATGCGTAGAGAGAAGGACTTCAGTACGGCTGCAAACGCTGTAAGCGGTACGCCTGTACCAGAGCGCAGTATGATGGATTCAGGACCGTGAGGTCATCATAGACGACTTGATTTGCCGAAAAGCCCCTTTGTTAGCGTGTGTAGAGGTGTGGAGAGAGTATGTCCGGGGCATGGAACCGGAAAAGGCAACAGTGGCGGAGGCAAAGAACCGCGTGACCCTACTTACGTAAGTGGGGGTCAAGTGCTTCGATTGATTTTACCAGGGTCTGCAACTTAGAACGGCTAGCTTGCGTACTGGCGTCCGCACCGACGTATGAGTTTCATCGGCGTTCCTGCTCTTGCGCTGGGGGTATTAGAGTCTTGCGCATGAACACAACCTCAAGCAAGACGGTCGCACAAAATGTGATGGCAAATTTGGGCAGAACTGCCAGAATTTCGTCTCCTGGGTCGAGATGGAGGACACCGGTCGGGATGCTTCCGAAGAGAGCGTCCAGTTTGGTACCACATGCATATCAGCCTGGTCCGGTTTGGTCAAATTCAGGCGTGTCTTCCCGCCACTATTCTGGTCTATCTGCAATGTCCTATACCCGACAAACCCCGCGAAGTAGCAAACTTGGTGCTGGAAATGCCTTAGGGAATCGTGGCATGTCCTGGCAATGGTTGCCCTGGTTTTTGAGATCTCGAAGTCCTAGTCATATGGAGGCACCCCAAGGAGGACTGCCTGATGGTCAAGAAGAAGCCGCTAAGGCCGCCATCTTGGATAAGGTCATGAAGGGACGCCAACCAACGGATCTGATGCTACGATGTACGTTGCTCTCGCTTTGCTCGAATTCGCATGTTTAACCGGATAATAGGCACTGTTCTGGACTCTGAAGGTAGCCCACGCTCGAAAAAGGCCGCCGCTAAGCGTTTACGTTCCGTCTTTATCCAGGTAATGTGAAGACAATTTCTGGCCAATTCAAGAAGTCCGATATGTGCACCGAACACGGTCTAAACGTAAGTGCAGAGCCCCCTCATCAATCGTCCAAGTTCCGGAGCTCACCAAGTATGAAGCCTCGTGACTTGCGTAAGATTGATTCCCGAGTTCCAAACCTTGTAGCAACCATCCTCGTCCGTGAACAGGCGTTTCTCGTACGTTATTCTGTCTCCTCAATCCACACTTCGTCTGACCCAGCGATCGTGCCCTTAGGTGAATATACTCCACATCCGAGCGCTGGTCAAAGCGGACTGCGTCATTCTTTTCGACACCTATGGATCTGTCGATTCAAGGCTGCACTCTGTCTTCCTCTACCATCTGGAGGTACGAGGATCGTACCGCTTCTACTCCAGTAGACCGACCATCTCGTCTAGCACAACCTTAAAGTCAAAGGCTCCACGTCCCCCTATGAATTCAGAGCCTTGGACTCTATTCTACTTTCTGTCCTGAGCGCGCTCGAGGCAGAGATGGTGTTCATTCGGAATCTAGTGGGCGGATTGCTGGCCGAGCTTGAAGATGATATCGACCATGATAGATTCAAGCGGCTCTTGCATTACTCTAGGCGGCTAGCCAGCTTCCAGAATCGTGCTAAACTCGTATGTTGATCGTGCGCACGTGCCATTCCTGACGTCGAGTCTGATAACCTACGCCTGAAGGTTCAACAAGCCATCGACGAAGTGTTAGAACAAGGTAGAGCAGGTATACCTGTTCTGTGCGTAATTACTGATCTGTCGGATAGACGAGGATCTGGATGCGATGTATCTGACCGATAAGAAAAATCAAAAGGAGCGCCACGACCACAACGAACTTGAAGTCCTCCTTGAGTCCTTCTCAAAGCAAGTAGAAGAAATCGTAACGGAAGCAAATAATATAGATGTGCGGCCCCAGATCCCCTGACCCCGGGCAGAGCCGCTGACACTTCTCAGGCTAATGTACAATCTACGCAAGAAATCGTGGAACTTATTCTCGACTCTAATCGCAACTCCCTTCTCGCACTAGATCTCAAGGTTCGTCCGTACGCGGGATGGTGGCGATAAATTCATCCGCTCATTAGAGTTGTTTTTAGGTGTCTATAGGAACCATGGGTATCGGGGCTGGAGCCCTGGTTGCCGGGCTGTTCGGCATGAATGTGAGTCTCCCGTGCCTGCTTCGTCATGGACTAGCAAGCCTCATCTGGTATCACGCGTTATCTAGTTGAAAAGTACCTTGGAGGAATCAGACTATGCCTTCTTAGGGATGACCATCTTGTCGGCGGTTGTGGCGGCTGCCGTATCTTGGGCGGGACTGCGCAGGCACGTCATGATCAGTCTTGTTGCGCGAGCGTGATTCTGACTGATGTCTTGTCTCTACCATACATCCAGACTTGCAACAATCCGAAAACTCAGCTTATCCAACGGTCATCGCAGGTCTTCGCGGGCCCCTCGGCTCCCGCTGCCGTTGCGCAGACGGAGCCAGGACGGTTGGCCATGACACTCGAGTGCAGGTGGCTTGTCGTCTCTATACGCAGCGCATTTTGCGTCGTACACATGGACCTACAACCCCATTTCAGCCATACCAGCATGTTCATCTGTATATACACTGACATCATTACTCAGCCCTGTATCGATTCTAAGCATAGCCTTTAATCAATCATACCCACCTCCCTCCGTGGCTTTTCCGATCGGGGCAGTCCGGTCTTCACATGTCCTAGAAGCTGGTCATGGAATTGTGCACCCATGTATTTAGCCCGAACGGATGGTCCTGTGCGAGAGAAGCTGTTAGTGGCGCAAGCCTATCCTGAGCCTATCTTTGATGGTCGCAGCTCGGGAGCAAGGTGGTGTATGGAGCGCACCCAGTGCGAAGGAGACTCGGGAAGAAGCCTCATGCAAGCACAAGGTCCAACCTCCCGATTCTCCTAGGCATGGGTCATGGGACTGAATTCGACGAAGGGCTACCGGACGGATAAGACCGAGTAGTGCAAGCGCGACAAGGTTTGGACAGAGATGGACGGAGTGAGTACAAGTAGTAGGCGTACAGGGTTACGGTAGTGAAACAAAGCACAACATTCGTGAGTCATAAGCTAGATCGAAACCCCCGGGGGAAGAAGAACGAAAAGTCAGCGTTAAAGCCATCAGGGAAGGATGTAGGATCGGCATTAGGAATAGTCCGGAACAAGGGAGACATGTGCAGTTCGTAGGAAGGGATAGGCATAAACAGGCACGTAGGCTGTGAAGTGAATTTCCAAGGTCAGTCTGCAGCAAAACCCCTGGATATTAGCCACGGACACCATGAAAGGACGTACGTGCTGACTCACATATGAAACATCCACATATTAGAGGACACATAATCGTCCCGTGTCTACTCAGCAGCAGACGGAGGCATATCGGGCAATATATAATGCATCTTCTTCTCTCCGAAACTAGACTTGTGGTTGAGCTCTGGCAGGCCGATGTTCTGGTGCTGCGTGCTGGACGGAGCCGTAGGCACCTCGTTCTCAGCGTCCGTGAACTCTGCAGCGTCGTACTTGGGCACGGGCTTGCGGGGCGTGCGGCGATTTCCCGTGGACGCCGAGCGAGACAGCGCAACAGGCTCCGGGCTCTGGCTCTGCGGCGACGGTGGGTAGGGATACTGGTCTTGTACATGGGACGGAGGCATGTACGAGATGGGCGGGACCGGGACGCGGCGCGGGGACCCGGCCTCGAGGGACCGCCTGCTTTGGCTGTTGCGCTTGGCAATCCCCGGAGGGTGCGCAGAGGTCGAAGGCGGGCGGGAGCTGAGCACCGTGCTCGCGAGCGAGGACGTCGTCGACGAGCGCTTGACGTTGTACCCCAGCGCCTGCGCGGTGACGGGGTCGAACCCACGCGCCGCGGCCATTTTCTCGTGTTCCACAGAGTTAAGCTCGGACTCGGACACGGCGGGCGAGTAGCGCGGCGCGACTGTGGCAACCGACTCATTCGGGAGGTGTTGGGCTTTCGTGCGGCCACGGCCATCGTCGCCGGAGTTGAGGCCACCCCAGCCACCTGCAGGACCTATGCCAGCCGACAGGCTGCGGGCGCGGGTGCGCGAAGGCCTGCCAGTTCGGAAGAAAAGGAAAGCTGCGAGGAGGAAGAAAAGGCCTGCCAGGCCCCCCAGGACGCCGCCGACGATGGCTCCAACGTTGGTGTGGCGCGACGGCGGCAGACCAGAAACGGGCAGAGCGGTCGAAGACGTGGAAGGGGTACTTGCGGGATTTGATCCCGAGGATCCCAGTAGGCACGAGGTGTCAGTGCCATTAGATATGTAGAATTGTTTGAAGTCGGAAACACGGTCAGAGGAGGACGGATACGATATGTACGCTTCCAGATCATACCATCCTTGGGAGACGTTCACCTTCGACCATGTCCAAGTTTCGGAAGCTGGATCAAGGTTGGTACTCAAGTACTGGCTGGAATGGGAGGTGTCATTGACATTCATAACCAGAATTGAGAGATCGCCTCCAGGGGATCCGCTGAAGTCCCAGGTGACGGTCCCTGAGCCGCAAGTGGTCATGTTTTCAACAGCATGCAAGGTGATCACCGCAGTCGTGGTTGGCGCTGTGGAGGCGGAGGTGAGACTGGACGTAGGGAGGCTGATAGAGATTGTCGTGGGGGTGATAGGGAGTGTAGGACTAGCAACATGGGACAAAGTCCCTGGACGTACATTGTTGACGATCAACTCCACGATTGCATGGAAGGAGAGCAGTCTCACCTGGTAGAATACCAGTGTTGGGCGGATTAACCGCGGTCATCCTCGCGCTCTCCAGATACTAGCGCCTGTATAGAGGATTGACTCCAGTGAGCACCACGCCAGAAGAGGTCGCGCGCCGTAAACAACCTGTCAGCTCGATCGGTCAGTGCGCCAGCCCTTTGCGTGGTAACCGTGAGGCAGCCGACTGCGTCCGTGCTACAATAGCGCAGGAAGCAGGCGTCTGCCTTCCTTGAAAGATACTTGTACTCACCGACAAGACCGTCGGTGACCGCGGGGAGGGCACTGCAGGATGCAAGCTGTGACAGTCGAGTCGAAAGACTGACTGATGCTGTTGTTTGCTCACCTCGGTCTGGCTGCACCGCTCGGCACTCGGCAACAGCTCGGATGCCCGTGAGAGGACCACGTGTTGCGCAGAAAAGGCAAGAGGAGGCGCTTCCTCAGCGATCTGGCCTCTGATTGGACCCGGCGTTCTTGAAGGAGATATACAAGGATATACAGGCAAAACGTGCTGGTGGACGTCTTCTGTCTCCTCGTCCTTCAGATATTCTCCCTTGAGCAACTTACGGCACAAGAGTATAATAAGATGGCAACTTCCAACCTTGGTTGACAGAAGATGTCGCAACCGGTGGTGATCTGGATGCCTGTCCAATCTTACACGTAGTTCCCATGATCAGTGCTGCGAAGAAAACAAAACATCAGCGTTCAACCTCTTCAAGACGTGCGTCTAGATGTCGAATATAACCCAGTTTAGACTCACTTATGTGACGACGACGCCATGCGTGTAATTGAATGGCTCTTGATGCTGTTCATCTGATCGCTCTAGGAAGATGAACGTACGGCCAATGCTAGGCATGTATATCAGTGTATGATAGGTATTGTCTATTCATACCAACTTGATGCTGTTAGAAGTGACACTGCTGGCCCACGGCCGTCCGTCCATTAGGTGACAATTAACTCCTTGGAGAAAGGACTCGAGTTACTCCAAGGGACTGTATGCGGTACTAGATATTTGGACCGAGTTCGTCGTATACCAATTTCCTTTCTTCTGGGTCCAGCGTTGCTAGATCATTCCTATGCCCGTACACGTCGACGGCTCGCCTTTGCTTCACCTTTTTCAATCCTGCTCTAGCAATACTTGCGACAGCGCTTTCTCCCAGCATCTATACATTATTCGTTAGCAAATATATGTGCACCAAATCATTACCTCGGATCCTACCACGTTTTCCCTGGGTCCTAGTCAGAGCCTGCAAAAGCCTGCCCAGTGTGGCCCAGCAGCGAAAACTCCCCTGACGATTGCGTTCAACACGCCTAGCAGAGGGTTGAGGGAGGGGACAGAATGGAAATGATCTGGGGGGCTGACTACTAAGTTTTGTTCATTTCTACACCATGACATATGCTGACGACGTTCTGCACCGAGCGGGAAGGAAATGTCCAAACTTGGGCATGCAGATGCCAAAAATAGCAATAAACGCAATCGGACGCAATGATCCCCAGAAGTCTAAAGGAAACAAACATAAATACTCGAAAACAAAGACTGCGCATATGGCGGAATGACAAGTGAACAGATATTTCGCTCCTCCGAGTCCAAGTCAACCCGGACCGTCAACCAGGGCTCCAGTGTCACACGAGGCATGTGACCCAGACGCGTCATATTCCCAATCTCAAGTTGAACTTCCATTCGCAGGGCAGCGCAGGGCTTCCAGCTTACAACTCAAACGGCGCTCTGCACTCAAGCCCCATTAACTCGGGCTATGCCTTGTGATTGCTCTCGTAACCAAACCTTTCCGACGTCAACGCTGTTATGATTTTCCCATGCTTATCTCATTCCATTTCCATTCCGAGCATTGCTATTGGACAGTACCTTTCTCTGAGTAGAACTTCCCATGGACGCTATCTTCTTCCCACACGTTATCTCCCTTGACTCACCTTCTACCAATAGGCGCCCTTGTATTTCTCATTTCTCTGAGTTACGTTCTCACAGGATAGCTGACGCGTCCTTTCTTATTGTTCTCTTCTTTGGGTATTAACCCCTATACCAGTTACTATATATACTGTAGGAAAACCCATGTATTCCTTAGTTCAACCTCCTGTTGAATACAGCGATTACCTGGACTCTTGACTTGACCGTTGGCATTGGCCCGGCCAGACCTACCTTTCAGTACGCTTACTGAGGTAGTGACGACATAACTGTTGGCACATGGCCCAGTTATCTCAAGACGACTAGTTAGGACATCG